GCCTTGGTTTTTCTAACTGCTTTTATACTTTGCAGCACCTTTATAATTGAGGAGGGGATTTTTAGCCTATTTAAATTGGGGAGGGGATTTTGTCATGTTGACGGTCATGACATCGGGATGTTCACGGACCCGTTTACGCGTTACGCCCCGCCTCCTTTGGTGCTTCGTCAAGGAGCATGGCTATCTAAATGAAGACCACTGCTAGAGCGACTCAGACTATGAATATTACAGGAGATCTGTATCTACGATTTATTTACGGACACATGCTGCTGCACTGAGCCTGGACAGTGTATCCTCTCCGACAAGAGAAACCGCAAAATACTATCTGTTTATTCGTGCCTTTAGTCATATGTATCGGTAACCGATGGGAGATTTGTCATCTTTGATCTCTGAAAAAGCAGTAGCTCAGTTTGATCTATTGACACTAAACTCCCTCTATTCACATAGCAATGTTACAGTTACCGAATGTAACAAAAATTCCACTGAATCCTTGACTGTGGGCTAGATTACTGTTCTTGGATACAATACGGACCAGGCAAGAATTTGACTCCTATGAATGAAGTGAGCATATATATAGGATCTTACCTAGAAGTTTATTATGTTCCTTACATGACAGTCAAGTATTGTTATGGTTGCATCTTTAATGGGGGATTTCCTGTCATGTATACAAACATCTTAATTCTCTATATCATAGAATTCACCTTTACCCATGGGGATTTGCCTGCATGATCTCTATTCATCATCAGCATTTAATTAATGGTAGAAATCCTCCCTACATACACAAACAGATTTTGTTCAAACTATGCAATGATTAGCAATGATGGCCATCATCTGTGTATAATGCGCATATGAGGAATAGTCATGGGCATGTTTCTATTGTTTTTATAGTGTTTTAATTGACAACGTTGACAATTTTTAATAGAGGTTTGCCTTTTGGGGTGCCGTGCATGCAATTTTTTTTGGTGTATTTTCTTTTTTGTTATATTTAATAAAGTAAGCTAATTTGCTTTAAATTATGACACTAGTTGATTTGTATCTTCTTTATCAACGTTTTCTTTTGAGGTGGCATCTTTTTTTGATATATGCATATAAGTTACCAACTATATCTAGGAACTTTTCATGGTGTTTTATATCTAATTTCTCTGCTATGCAAAGAGAAGATCTAGATATTAAAATGACTGAAGACAGACTTGAGACACGGTAAGAATGCCTGCTTTTTTCCATGTCTGAAAGTCTTGTAGTTTAGACAGTTAAGATAAACAAGCATTATCCCAAATAGGAGCATAGCTCATAAGAATGCCAATGCCTAATGGATGTTTGGCAGGTTCCCACACCTTGCCAATAAGGTATATTGTAGGCAATGTTGAGAATATCTTGGAGTATACTGTAGTTTCTAATTGGTGTAACAGATCAGCGCCCTGGAACAAATAGCACAGAGCTCGAAATGACTGAGTGTGAATACAACCCTCACCCTCAGGGGGGCGTGCGAAGAACAGAGGAGCATACTATGAGCACCACATCATGATCAGACCAGGGTATAGGGAGAATGTGAGAGGGAGCGCCGTTGGAGAAAGGCATGATCGATACGCGAGTGGGAGCAATGAGGGTTAGAGTAAAAGGTGTAGTCTCTTCCTATGGGGTGATGGTCCCGCCACACATCCACAAGGTTATGTTGGAGGAGCAGTTGTTGAAAGCTACGGCTATGAGGACGCTGTTCAGTGGGACCCGGGGGGTACTTATCTAGTTGTGCGTGGAGAATCAGGTTGGAATCACCACACAGGAAGAGAGTACCATTTGATGTGCAACGAGCAAAGAGCAGAGGTGAGTGAGGAAAGGAATTGGGTTAGCATTAGGCGCATAATAGGTGAGAACAGTGACATCAGTATCGTTGAGTCTGCCCGTCAGGAGAAGGTAGCGGCCCTCTGGGTCTGCTACCTGCTTAGTGCAAACAAAGTTTGCCGTTTTACGAAAGGCTATGAGGACACCGCGGGTTTTCGTAGAGGCATTGGCTTGATATACGGATGGGAAGAAAGCATCGAAATATTTAGGGGCACAGGAGGTCGAGAAATTCGTTTCTTGAAAGCAGGCCATGTCAATATGATGGCTGCGGAGGTAGCGAAAGGCTTTGGTGCGCTCCTGAGGGGAGTTGAGGACCTGCACATTCAGGGAGAGCCAGCGGAGCAGCATTGTGCAGCTCAACGTAGGCTATCTAGAGGAGGATTGTGTTCTTCAGGGGAACAGGGAAGGGGTGGGGGAGGGGGGAGAGATAGAC